AGGAAAAGAAACGCAACAGTGGGAATCCAACAAGATGAGAGAATGGGAGATTTGTGATTTGGTCACCACCAGTGTTCCCTCTAAGCTGAGTTAGTGTGAGCTAGCTCACAGTTTTTTAGCCTCCGGCTCACACATTTTTGTCTTCGCTCAGGAAGGATGGCTCCAGAGTAGCCAAATTGCTCGCTCACAACTCTAATGCCAGTAGCTCACAAAGTAGAATTTTTGCTCACAAGACTCCACATCTTAGAGGGAGCATTGGTCACCACTGTATATATATATATATATATATATTTAGTCTTGGTAAATAGTAGCCAAAGCTGCAGTTCGGACTGGGATCATGGTGCAGCAGGTCAAGGGTTAATTCTTTCGCTGTGTGCTCTTTTCCCAAAGGCAGATAATTCCCGTGACCTGAATTAAGGCCACGGGGGTGGAAACATACAGGTTGCTTATACAGCAGCCGTATGTTTTCCCCAGTGGGACAAATATTTGCATTTTCCCTTTTTGCTTTTGCTCTTTTCATTCCTGTCTTCTCTCCAAGGAGTTCAAGGGGTCTTACATGCTCCTCCCCTCCTCCATTTTGCCCTCTCCGCAACCTTGTGAGGTAGGCTAGGCAGAGAGAGTATAACTGGCCCAAGGTGAAAGTTCCCGAGCCGAGATTCGAACCTGGGTCTGACACGTTTTTGCCTAGCCACCATGACGGTTTTGGAACGGGGGATTCAAAGTCAGGAAAAATATGCACAGACAAAAGATAAAAACCCCTTCTTCATGGATCCTGATTCAAAGCGAGGCCTCCCAGAAGTGGTATTTCCAAAGGGGGGGACATATCACCAGCCACAGACCTTCTAGCATCTGATCTGGCTGCATCAGAAGCATTGTTTCCCTAGCGTTTACTGATCCTTAGCTTACCTGCATGTCAGGTGCTGGGTTACTTTCTCATGAAAGTGGAAAGGTAACGGGGACGCTGCGGCTGCCACCTGAACCATCATTTCTTTACCAAGTTCTCTCCAAGTATCATGTGTTTCCCTTCCCCCATTCAACATCAGTAAGCAGCCAGTACTTGGGGTGATGGAAATTCCCAAGGGGATGACGTCCCATCACATAGTGGACAAGTGGGAGTCAGGCTCTTATTCAGCAGCAGCCTCCTCCTCCCTCTGATCATCTGGGTTTCTGCCATCAGATGAGAATTGATTCCGGGGCCCGGGTGAGGTTGTCGCTCCATCACGCGAGAATTTATCGAGGATCACAATAGTTAGAGATGGGAAATGCTCCATTAGGCCCAGCCCACACTCGGTAGCAGATGCAATTTCCCCCTTGCAGGAGGATTCTCGGATATTACTTGTGTATAGTGTTTGTCGTGGTGGATTGCTTCCTTTCTCAAGCTCCTCTTTTCCAGCTGTATGCAAAAGGAAGCGGTAGCGAATGGCGTCTGACAGTTCCGGTCCAAAGGCAGGATAGGCAGCGTTGCCAACTTCCAGGTACCACCTGGACATCTCTCAGGGCTTACAATCGATCTCCACTCAACAGAGATCAGTTCCCCTGGAGAAAATGGCTGCTTTCAAGGCGGGGCAATCCTACAGGATAAGAGTGCCCTGTCTTCTTGTTTTGTGTATCCTTAATCAGAAGAATGGTTGCTCTTGCTGTCATTAGCTCTGTCTGTGTAATCAGCCAGACCAATCCCTCTTGATCAGACTAACTTATAGACGTTGACTGCTTGATATCAGCCACTTCAGCTAGATGGCAAATATTGTCATATCCCCATAGCATAATTATCAATTTCCCCCCTCAGTCCTATGCAGAATTAACCACCCAACCTCTAATTGCCTTAAAGAGCCGCCCATGAAGAGTTCACATATTTTTGCAAATTAAAATCAATATTTTCAATCTCTCCAGAAAGTAATTTTCTTAATTTAGTGGACTTTCCCCTAACATTTATTTTGTCTCTTAATTATAAAATGGCAGGTTATCGATTTTTTGGTGTATAACCTCACAGAGTTGCACCTGAAACATTTTTTATAGACAACCTTGAGGGGCAAGGTATTTGGCCCTCCTAATGAGAATCTTTAATTACCATTAGAATGTTATAAATTTAGTGGTGTGAATTATGATGCCTTGCTCTAACAGTGAAAGATGTAGAACTTCCTATTAGAGGTGTTTTTTCCAATTACTGGCATTTACCTATTTTGGGTGGCTTGAGTGGAGAATGGGCTTTGGCTTAAATACGTCCACATGAATGTTTAGAGGCACCTCCCATGTTCAGAGATTTGAAACAATACAAGAACTCGTGGGCACTCAATGAAATTGCTGAGCAGCCAGGTTAGAACAGATAAAAGAAAGTTCTTCTTCATCCAAAGAGTGATTAACACATGGAATTCACTGCCACAGGAGGTGGTAGTGGCTACAAGCATGGACGGCTTCAACAGGGAATTAGGTAAGCATCTGGAGCAGAGGTCCGTCAGTGGCTATTAGCCACAAGGTATAGATAGGAACTCTCAGTCTGGGGCAAGTGATGCTGTGTTTTCTTAGTGCTTGGGAGGGGGGGCAACAGTGGGAGGGCTTCTAGTGTCCCGGCCCCACTGGTGGATCTCCTGATGGCACCTGGTATTTTTGGCCACTGTGTTCAGAGTGTTGGACTAGATGGGCCATTGGCCTGATCCAACATTGGCTTATCTTATGTTCTCATGAAACTCATCGCAAACTTATTTTTGTTGTTTTGATGCTGATGGTCCTCACTGATAGGCTATGGTGGCCCACAGGGTTTTGTGGTGACTCTGGAACATGAAAGTCAGATTGCTTGATAGATGAGAGATCCAGGCATCATCCAGTTAACTACCAACAGGAGAGGGTGTCACATTGCCAATAAAGGAAAGGAAAGCACTAGTAGGTTTGGGGGGGGGGGGTTGGGGGAATAGTTTCCAACAACACCATGTTCTTTTAAAAAAAATTACAAGGGAAATTCAAGCTACTTCATAGTCAGGGTGAGAAGTTCCTTTTCTCCGCTACTAAATGATGAAAAATTTGGCCACTTTGGAAATAAAGATGATATATCTATGGAGAAACTGTTGATTTAAAATATCTTTAATCTTGATAAATAAGTTTTTTGGGGGAAAAGAGAGGGGGGGGAGAGGAGAAGGTTATACAAAGCTGTCAGGATGGCACTGATGAATGGCACATTCCCTCGTTTCTCAATTGGCGGTGAAGACACACACCACAAGGCTTAACCGCGTTGTACATCATATCTGCCAACTCATTTCTTTGATTAAATATTCCATCAGCACGGGCTATAAGGCGGTAAACCTTAACAAGATTCATAAGATGCGCCTCTTGAATACGCATAACTCACCTCCTTGGATAGAGAGCGCCCTGCGTGTGGAAGAAAATTAGAATGGAGTTAAATTACTCCCGAAGACAAGATCAATAGACGGAAGGGGGCGGCGGGGGGGGGGGAAGAGCCCCCTAATGCAATGCAAATTTAAGATATAGTTATGTCCTGACAACTCTGAGCAGACAATTAAAGTCAAAAGTGGAGCCGCTCGACGTAAATCAACTTCTAAAACCTTGAAGATAATAGTAAATGGTCAGGGGTCATTGACAAGCATACTAGAGTTGGATCTTCCACTCCCCCCCCACATCCTGTGTAGATTTGTTGTTTGATCTTCAGACGTTCAACTGCATCCCCCTTCCCTCCAGGTGACTAGTCAGCTTGGCACAGCAGCAAATAAAGATGCCGCAATGTCATGGCACAGACAGACACTCCATTTAGTTGTTCAACTTCACACCATACAGGATTGTTTTATAAATTACAAATGTTTGTACCATTTCTCACCAACGAATGGGGATATTATCGATTGACATTAAAGAACTTCCATGTGTGTGCTTTCACGGCAGCCATTTTGTCACAGTACCCACTGTATGTCCTCAGAATTCCAGAGGTTCTCATAGGTTCAACAAGATCTGGGGACCCCTAACCCCCCCCAGAGGTCTGCTCAACCCAAATCATCTTCAAAGCTAACAGTCTTGGTGTAGTGTAGTGCGCGATGTAATGGTTTGGTGTAGTGGTGAAGTGCGTGGACTCTAATCTGGGAGAACCAGGTTTGATTCCCCACTCCTCCGCTTGCAGCTGCTGGATGACCTTGGGCAAGCCATAGTTCTGTCAGAGCTGTTCTCTCAAGGACAGTTCTGGAAAGAGCTCTCTCAGCCCCGCCTACCTCACAGGGTGTCTGTTGTGGGAAGGGGGAGGGGAAGGAGTTTGTAAGCCACTCTGAGACTCCGAGTGAAAGGTGGGGTATAAATCCAATCTCTTCTTCTTCATCATCTTCAAAGCTAACAGTCTTGGTGTAGTGTAGTGCACGATATAGTGGTTTGGTGTAGTGGTTTGGTGTAGTGGTTAAGTGCGCGGACTCTAATCTGGGAGATCCGGGTTTGATTCCCCACTCCTCTGCTTGCAGCTGCTGGATGACCTTGGGCAAGCCATAGTTCTGTCAGAGCTGTTCTCTCAAGGACAGTTCTGGAAAGAGCTCTCTCAGCCCCACCTACCTCACAGGGTGTCTGTTGTGGGAAGGGGGAGGGGAAGGAGTTTGTAAGCCACTCTGAGACTCCGATTGA